TAGGATTGCCGAAGAGACTCTGCATGGCCATTCCCTGACTCCATTCCCCCTTCTAAGCCCACCTGGAAGCATCATGAGATCTTGATCCCAGAGGTCTACCTTGACTTCACTGAGGTTTTTGAGTTCCTGACCTAAGCCCGACTCTGGCTCTGGAGGTCAATGTCATCATGTATTATGCCCCACTGTCTCCCTCCCTCTGGAAAAGTGGTGCCCACTAGCTCTTGGCACAGTAGTGGCTCTGTGCAATGGAAGGGCAGTGGTGAGAGGGTAGGAGCAGGGCATTGAGCTGATTTTCTGAGTGGAGCATTTCACATTTCTATGGAATGAAGAGGCATGAGAAATCCAGGAGAGGAACTTTCAGTGGAGAGAAAAGGCTCTGGGCCAGTGGGTTCCAGCCAGAGATGGTGAGAAGAGACCACTATTGCTTCTGGAATGTGTAGCCTGGCTTGGGTCATGGTCCAGCAGGCCAACACACCCGTCATTTCCTCTCAAGAAATGCCTGTGACTTGAGAGGGTCCTGGGAGCTGTGGCTTGCCCGTTTTGTTCTCTCACCTGGACTCAGTGACCTAGAGGCAGACTTTTTTGTATTGGCCTGAGGCCTGGTAATGTTTGCTGCAAAGCAGTCATTTTCAAAATTGATGTTGTTTTGAGCCATGAGACTCTTGCTTTAATAGCCCTCTTAGGCAGAAGCTTTATATAATAAAGCAGGATTTCTCAATCCTGGTGCTGTGGACATTTGGGGTTGATCATTCTTAGTGGTGGGGGCTGTCCTGTGCATTGTAGGATGTTTAGCATCATTTCTAATCTCTACCCACTGTAAGCCATTGTTACTCTCTTTCCCCAGCTGTGACAACCAAAAATGTGGCCAGATATTGTCAAATGTCTGCCGAGGGGCAAAATTGCCTCCTTTTGAGAACCCATGTATTACGAGACTAAAGTGGAGGTAATTTATTTAAAGTAGGAGTGGGCACCTGATGTGCCACCCTTTGCCCTCTTTCTTCTCCCTCCACTCTCTGTTTCTGATTGAACCGGGACACCCAGATTGAGAGCAGAGCTGCAGGTTCCTGTGGGGGCCACTGCCATGCACTCTGCAGAATTGCACAGTCCCTTGGGCATTGCTCTAAATTCTTTTCCTCCACAGTGGGAGTGGGTTTGTAAGATGTCCGGGCAGAGATGAGCTGGTCCAGCCTGTGGTCCTGGAACAGGGAAACCAATCACTGCCCCCACAGGGTTTAGGTGCCTGGCCTTCCTCTAGAAGTGAATAGGTATTGATTTTTTTTTTTTTTTTTTTTTTGAGACAGAGTCTCACTGTGTCATCCAGGCTGGAGTGCAGTGGTGTGATCTCGGCTCACTGCAGCCTCTGCCTCCCAGGTTCAAGTGATTCTCCTGCCTCAGTCTCCCGAGTAGCTGGGATTACAGGCGCCCACCACCACACCTGGCTAATTTTTGTATTTTTAGTAGAGACAGGGTTTCCCCATGTTGGCCAGGCTGATCTCGAACTCTTGACCGCAAATGATCCACCCACCTCAGCCTTCCAAAGTGCTGGGATTGCAGGCAGTATTGATTGATTTTAAAATGACAAAACAAATGCTCAATGAAAACAACCTGGACAGCCCTGAAAATCACAGAAAAGGGGAAGCCACGTGTAATCGTGCTGGGTTGAGGTACTCACTTACCATTAAAAAAAGCAAACCAAACCTGCTCTTTTACTATATATACATACACACACACACACACACACACATATATATATATATATATAATATTACGTTATATGTTTTAGAGCCTGCCCTTTTCACTAAAAGTGGTGGTCTCCCTAGTGGCACACACACATCAGCCAGCAGAGTCACAGCGCTGACCCTCCTGGTTGGGTACCAAGTGGTGAGTCATAGGAGAACTTGGCAGGTGCCCAGCTGATGCCATCCAGAAATGTCAGGGCCTCATCTTCATCCTCCTGCTCTTCCTCGGAACCTGCTCTGACGCAGTGTCTGTGCACTCCTTGAACCTGCTGGAATCTGCTGTATAAACTCCTGCTGGAACAGTTTTCCTGGAGGCCATGAATGACAGGTTTCCTACCCCTCTACACTCCGCCACGTGGGGTTTTTTATCAATGATTGTGGAGAAATGACAACTTCCAGCAGAAGCCTGATGCCATTTTTAGCTTGAAAACTGAGAACAAGACTGCTCAGTTTCTGTAAGGCACAGGAGGAAAATAATCAGCACAACCAGCTCTGCCTGAGGACTTAATGTATGTCCCACAATGCAAAGGAGTTTCCTTTTTTATCATAGTCTTTTGCTCTTCACATCATTCTTAGGAGGCAGTTATTTTATTATCCCCATTTAATAGATGAGAAAACTGAGACACAGACAGAAGAAGAAACCTGGACAAGGCACATAGATAGGGGCACTGATGGGACCAGGATACGCGTTTTGACCATCAGCTTCTAGGGCAGGAGTCGACAACTGTTTTCTCTAAAGGGACAGAGAGTAAATATTTCAGGTTTTGCAGGCCATATGGCCTCTGTAGCAACTATTCAGCTCTGTTATTTGTAGCTTGAAGATAGCTATAGATGACAGTAAATGAATGAATATGAACATGGAAATTTGAATTTTGTGTAGTTTTCATGTGTTACAAAATATAATTCTTTTGATTTTTAAAAATGTAAATGCCATTTTTAGCTCTGGGGCTGCAGGAAAGCAGGCAGCGGGCTGTAGCTTGATGACTACTGCCTTAGAGCCCTGACTCCTACTCACACTGTTGCACTGTGGCTATAAAAATGCCATTTCCTGATTTAGGAAAACTCAGACCTACCCAACGGAGGAGGTGGGGACCATCATTCTACTTACCGGAGGACTCTTTGCATCAAGGAGTTCATTCATTTCTCTGCCATATCTCAGTGCGTGCATAAGTCAGGGAAGGGTCAATTTGTGGGCATAAGGACGTGAGGGCTGAGAAGGGTAAGGCTCGAGAACATGGTAATGATTGACAACTCAACTGTAACAACACATTTATGGAATTATAATGTGGGCTGAGAAAAATGATTTCATTGATTTAAACAATTGGAACAAAGTTGCTTGTTGGGAGCAGATCCTTATAGGAAGCTGGGCTTCTGTGAATGAGAAGTATTCTGTACCATCATGGTGATCTACTTGGTAATTTACAAAGCCCAGGGAATACACTGGGGGACCTGGTGACACAGATAGTTCTACTCCTCTGGCGCTTTCTTTTCATCTAAAATGTTGCCAGGTTCCCTGCCATGGTGGGACCAGACCACCCAAACTGCTTTGGGGCTGTAAGGCTTCCAGGGAGAACTTTGGCATTGGAATCTAATACCAACCTGGCCACCTGGTCCATGTCCCCAGCAGATGCCAGTGTCTCTGGCTGCTCAGCAGGGACTTTGAGAGAATGTGGTACAAAACAGGTTCTCAGCATACCTTGTCACCGTGTGGCTCTGAAATGCTTCCAGAGGCCCTGGCAGCCATAGTCCTGCTGCCTTGCTGGCTCTCACTCAACTTGGTGGCAGATGGCAGAGCTACGGGTGTGGTGGTGCTGGGGAGGAGACGTCTGGGGAAGGTGGCTGTCACTTTTCTGGACAGAGTGTGCCTGGGTTAGTTCTGTCCCAGGATGAGCTGTCACCTCTCTGCACTCTTCACTAAGACGGTACTTAGACTTCATGGCCACTGATCAGAGTAAAATCCTGGGAGGATGGGGTGGGCAGTGGAAGGCCTTTTCCTGAGATTCTTTGGTGCCTCTTGGGATCGCAGGTGTGTACGAATGGGCATCTTTCATACCCCTTTACAGCTGCAAAGGGATTTGATAATCAATAGCATGATGGTTCTCAACCTGGGGACCCCAAAAGCATTAATGAGGGGTGTTTATTTCTGGAATTTGGTCAATATAAAAATAATAAACCCAGAAATCAGATCCATACCCATGACAAACCTTCTCATGCTGACAGCATGTTGAGTTTCTTTGCTTTGGGCTGGAATGTATGCACTGGATCAGTTAGCATGAGTTTGTGTCTGTTGATAAAAAGCTCTGGTTAACAGTGATTTATAGCTCTGATTAATAAATCCAAGAAGATTAATTAACTAGCACTTAATAGATGTAGTGTGCTGGCTAGATATAAACCTCTTAAACATGGGATCTCTTGGGGCAAAGTTCTGAAAGGAGATCTTCATGATGAAAAGGGGAGAAACTGCTGATCCAGTGCAACTCTCCTCTTTTACAAATGAAGACATTCGAGACCCAGAGAGGTGGAAGCACTGGCTCAGAGTCACTGGGTCCTGAAGTCTCAGATGAAGATAGAGTTTGTGTCCTCGACTGCCAGGTTCCCATTCTTTCCATGACACCCTAGTGACTCCAGGATACTTAGGTGGCCCCCACTCTCTGGAGTCAACTCCACCCAATCAAGCCATTGGTTTTCTTGAGCTCCAGGAGGGATTGGGCTGTGGGTCACCCAAAGATGGCTTCCAGGGTCTAGACCCTGGTGATGCTGGAAGTAGGTGTGTGTCCCTCCTTGGCTATGCCTGCTGGCCAGTCAGCCACCCCCTCCTTTTTTAAAGCCATATCATTTGTATTGTCTTTATGGGCAATAACTAAGGGGAAAAAAAAAAAGGGGCCAGCCCTTAGGAAATTCTGAATAGGAAAAAGAAAGAAAGGGAACAGAGGAAAACTGAGTTAGGAAGGCAAGCAGGGAGATTGAACTTCACGTCTTTAAATAGCATCTTTTTGGAGCTGATGAGGATTCAACACAATCTATGGGCCAGGAACTTGGAACCAATGAATCCAGTTAATTCTCACAACAACTCCATCAGGCAGACACTGTGAACCTCACCATACAGAGGAAGAAACTGAGGCTCAGATTTATTTGGTGACTTGACAAAAGGCCTGGCTGTCAATTAACTCATCAGGGATCCAAACCCAGGTCTCTGTGGCTCTAAAGCCAGCCCCATTTCTGTTGCATCTGGTGACCCTTATCTTTCCTCCTCCCCTACAGACACATAGAGAACTGGCGCAGTCTTCACACGCTCAATGCCGTGGACATGGAGCTCTACACTGGACTCCAAAATCTGTGAGTGCACCCGGCCACAGAGAGGTCTTTCCCTGTGGAAGGGGCGGGTGTCACCTGGTCTGCCTTCTGGGGTGGAGTGAGGGGCACAGCAAGGCTGCCATTGGTGCTTCCCCTGCTGGGTCTTCTTTTGGTAGAGTTGACAACATACACTTAGGGGACACCAGAGGCTTCAAAGGCCATCTCTTCACAACCCTTTGTTTCACCCTAGTCTAGAGAGGCAAGGGGGTTGCGTGAATTCCCATCTTGAAGGTAGGGTTTCAAGGCAGGCCCAGAACCCAGGCATGCTGTGTGAGTGTCCTTTCCCTAGCCTTATGCTTGACTGATGAGCCCCATGGAGTATGAGATTTCCCAGCTACCTCCTCCCTTGGATGTCAGTGCTAGTGACTGTGGGGACCTGGTGTGGGGAGAGGGACAAGGAACAAAGAGGGCTGCAGCCCTGCCATCACTGGACCAGCAGAAGCCCTGGTCCTTACCCACTGGCCAGGATGGATGGAGGGCAGCTGCCAGTACGACCCCTGACCTCCCAGTCTCACACAGGGCCCTGGGGCAAGTGAGCCCAGATGCCTCTACTGAGCACCCCAGCGGGCCACCTGTAATGACTGGCAATGAAGAGGTGCAGATGACCCACAGGGCGGCTGCAGGGCCAGCTTTAGCCTCACCCCCTGCCAGCCTCAGCCCAGAGCAGACATCCCTCTGCCACTTCAGCTCTGCTGATCCTCTTTTTCTCTCTGTCTAGGACCATCAGGAACTCAGGACTTCGGAGCATTCAGCCCAGAGCCTTTGCCAAGAACCCCCACTTGCGTTACATGTGAGTAGAGCTGGGCTGCAGGAATGGGAGGAACATGGCAGGGACTCTCGGGGCAGTGAAGCTGGAGACCTGAGGTCTAGACCTGGCTTTGCCTCCAGGAGCTCTTGGGTGAGGTTTTGAACTTTCTTGGGCTTCCAATTTTGCCTCTTAAAAGTATTATTTTGGGTTTGATGATCTCTGAGGTTCCTGTCAGAAGGAAAAATCTAGGACTAGGGGCTGAGAGGGAAAGTCAGTCTCCTGACACCCAAGTTTGTTCACTTTCATGATAAAACTTGCAACTTTATGGGAATGCAAATGATAGGGAATTCTACTCATATGTAATGTGAATACTACACTTCTGAGACCATACATAGGCCCATAAGAGTGTGTATGTGTGTTAGGACTTGGGGGTTGCAAGAAGAAAGAAAGCATGGCCAATAGCCAGTGTTATGTCTAAATGGATTCTGGGTTCAGTGGGGAAAAGCTCAGAGAAGTGGAAACACCTGTATAAAGTCACACAGCTTTGTTTGGGACAAGCTAGAGGTCAGGTGGTTATGGGTGGGGGTTCCTGTCTGTCTGTGCCTCCTTCACCCTGTCTCTCCCCTTTCCCTAGTGGGGATAGAATCACAAGAGTTGATGCTTCCTCTCTAAGCCCAGTTCTAGGCAGATAGACTTTGGGATTTAATTGAGGACTGCCATTTCCTGGGGAGAAAGTGGGCATGAAAGGAAGCCTGGGGTGAGTGATTAGGGGAAGTGCCAACCTGCTGCACCTGTAGAGGGGTACTTGTTGTCTGGGTCAACTCCAAGGATAGTGGCCATCTCGGACATCCACTGGGCATATTCCCAAAGAGTAGAGGCTCTGCAGGAACCAGGTGGGGAGGGGTCTATTGCCTTTGGGGAGAAAGTGGAGAAGTGGTGTGCCTTGGGCTAGTCTTTCCTGTGGCCACTTAAAAGTTTCACTGACTGAGCACTTTGCTCAGAGGTTCCAGGTGTTTATTTTATTTTATTGCATTTGGAAGGGCAGCTGGGCTGGAGAGAAATTGCATGCACAGGAGCAGAACATCCAGGGGAGCTGTGGGAAGTGGAAGGTAGGGGAGGTGGGGAAAGGGAAGAGATCACAGTGAATCCCGGTGGTGGAGTTATTTTTTCTTTTCTGGGGGTCCTGACCTTACCCCCAGGCTCTGTGTGTTTTCCCAAGCACATAGTGAGTGCTCGATAAATATTTGTTTATCAGTATGGGCACCTCTGCTTTCTGTGGAGCTTTCTTTTCTCTCTCTGGAAATAGCAGGCTCTATGGCCACTGCTCAGGGCCAGATGTATCAGCTCCAGGGGACTGAGACCTCCCTTTCAGCTGTCTAATTTAGCTGTTGCCCCTTGCCCCAGGGTAGCGTCTGTGGTGAGAGTCTCCTGATGTGCGTTCTTTGCAACTGGAGGCATAGCTGGGACCAGAGGAGGGTCTTGGACCAGATGTTCCAGGTGTTTATTTTATTGGGGGTTTGAGTTTCACTGTAAAACATCCCAAGGGAAAGGCTGAGAAGGCTCTGTTTTCATAGTAATTAATGCAAGGGTCACAAAGCCAAATGCCCATAGTGGACCAGGTGGGGTCACGTGTTCCCTCCAAAGAGGCAACCAGTCATCAGTTCCAGCTGACTGCTGCCACATGGAGGTGGGTCCTGTTGTGGTCAGACTTGTTTCCAGAAGACTTGGAGATTCCATGAAACAACTCAAGTTTTAAATGCTGCCAACTAAAAACAAGGCCCTTCAACTCCATGGGCCAAACGAAACTACTTCCATGAGCAGAATGTGGCACATAGAGTGCCAGCTTGTGGTGCGAGGTCATATTTGGGGGAGGGACGCTGTCGATGTGAGAGAAACCCTCTTCTCTTTGAGGACAGGGACTGGGTGTTCAGGTTCCAGAGCCTTCTAGGGTATGGTGTCCCTGCAGCTCTTAGGGAGATGGAGAAGCTTCGGGACCCAGGCTCTGGGGTGGGAGCAGGGTTGCATCTTGGGCTGCAGGTGTCTCTGAAGTGGGTTGTACCAGAGCATGTCTTTGGCTTGCCCTTAAGGATCCTGGAAGAGGGCTGTGACCCATTGTCTCTTTTGGAATGACCTGGGTCTGCTGAGTGGTGGCAGCGATAGAGGCTTGTGGAGGTTTGCAAGATTCCCAAGGCTTTGTGGGTAGGAGGACCTAGTTGGAGTAGGACCCAAGGATACCGTTGAACCTGCCCATGACATTGGGCCCTGTTTTCTCCTGGACACATTGGCCACATTTCTCCTGGGCACACACTTGCCAAAGTACTTGCTATTGGTTACAGGGGGATTACCGAGAAGGATGGATGACCATTAGTTCACCCCTAGTTTGAGCCTGGCTGTGCATTAGGGGCAAGTCAGGGTGCTCAACCTCGTTCAAGAAAGTCAGCATCCAGTCAAGTGGCTCTGATAGGCACAGTGGGACGCCCAGAGGAGCCTGGGGGTCACAGAGAGACGAGTCAATAGGGTGAGGCATAGGCACTGGCTTCATCCACGGGTTTTATTTATTAACTTTTCTTATTTATGAAGACGCACATCAAATTCCCAATTGAGTAAATTTCCCGGCAGCTTTGGGACATTTTCTCCTGGCAAATGGGCCAGGTTTCTCTGCTGTCTCACAACATCTTCTATTTCTGTCCTCTAAATGCATTTACAAGTCTTCTGGCCCCAGCTGAGCAATCACAAGATGATCACTTACTCCAACACTAATTGCCGAGCCCTGGCTTGGTGGCTTTTTTTTTTTTTTTGGAGGCGGGGAGGTGATGGCTGAGAAATCTTTTCATCTCTCCTCTGTACAAAATAAGAAGTAGGAAGTGATATCATTGCCCCTAGTACTGATGTCAAATTGTCCAAATTGTTCTGATTGGTTGAACTGTCTCCCATCCCTAAGCTACCGGTGCATTAATCAGTGTAATTCTTCCTCATGGTAGAAAATGAATTGACAAAGTTTTGGCCAAGTTGTCTGCTACATGGTAGGCTGGAGATTAGGACTCTTGGGCCCTACTTCATGGTTTATGAGTGACTGACCATCTTTTCTTGACTGTTTCAGTTTTCTCTACCTTTTGTAGACTGTGGAAAATGAGATATGGATGAATACACATCAAGGGAAGCCCATTTTTGAGAGATGGGAATATTCTCCACCCTCGTATCCCTTCTCTGATCCTAAGAATTTTGGATTAAGGATTTTTAAGGATATGGATTTCTGAGATTGATAATTGGAATAGCTATATGCCAATCTGAAAAGTGGGCATAATAATAGTGTCTATTTTAGGGATGGGATGTGGTCAAGATTAAATGATAAGAGGCACATACAGCTCTCAGTCCAGTGCCCAGCAAATAGTGAGCGTTCAGAGAGGACAGTTGCTAGTAATGATAGTAATTAAAGTTATTATTGCTGGTGGTGATGATAGAATAAAAAAGAAGGGGTTAGGTGACCTTGATGGGTACTCTAACCACTTCTTTGTCCTGGAAAAGCTGAATTTCAGTCTCACAGTGGAGCCCACTTCTCTGGTGACTGGAATACTCATATTCTCCAGCGTCTTTCTTCATTGTACACTGACGAATAAATCCGGATGAGTTCTCTATTCTCTCCATTTATCCTCACTTGCTCTAGACTGTATGTAGACTTCTCTGTAGATGCTGTCAGTTTCACAAAGGACCTAAGCAATTGTAACTGATGAGCCAACAACTTTATTTATTTCCACCTGAGTAGAGATCTTGTCCACCAGCATTATTGAACTTGGGTTGTTCTTGGAGTCCTCTGAGCCCCGCTTCTGCAACCAGCCCCTCTTTCCCTTTATGGGGTGTGTTTTCTCTGATATGGCTCATACAGACTGGATCGCCACAGTCTGGGATCCCATACATGAAGAATGTAGATGTCTGCCTATTAGCTGCACTCGAACAATGGTACTTACTTTCATCATAGAGCTCTTTATGGTTTCCAAAGTGCTTTTCCATACATTATCTCATTGAATTCTCATAACCATCCTGGGGGCAGGAGTATGGTAGGCAGCTTTATTTTACAGCACAGAAGATAGGCTCAGAGAGGCTCTGACTTGTAAGTAGCAGAAGTAGAACTGCACCTAAGTCCTCTGATTCTCTTTCCAGGAATCTTTCCACTATAGCTCATGGGCCAGAAGAGGCAATGTTTTTTCACGGAAGCAATTTAAAAAGTTACTATGCTTTGCTAGTCATTACTGTGTTTAGAAAACCACATAGAACTGCTGGTATCAGAAAAGAAGAGGGAAAGGCTAATACTGGTTGAGAACTTCCTGTGTGCCAAGAACCGTGCCTGGTGCATTGGCAAATATGAGCTCACTTACTCCCCACAGTAGCTCTAAGTTAGGAGTCCTCTCTCCCCATTTCATAGATGCAAACACTGAAGCTCAGAAGTTATAACTGAGTTATCCTAAGGTTACACAGTAAGTTAGTGGAACAATCAGGATGTGGACTCTAAATCCTTTGAAACTGAAGTCCGTGTACTTTTTTACATTCCAGGAGCGTTTTGTCTCTCTGGTTTTCACAGCAAGAACTTCTTATAGGAGGGGTGGGCATCTTTAAAGTTCCGTGAAAGAGCTGCTCTTTCCCCCTGGGGATTCAGCACGATCCATCCTCAAAGAGCTCTGTTGAAAGAGCTCTGTTTAGTTCCTCTTTCTTTTCAGGTCAAATCCTATAATGACAGTTACATTACAACCTGAGTATCTTTATTACAAAAGATTTCTTAGCATTAGCCTATGGCCTACTTATTTCCAAGAATATTTAATGTAAGATTCCAGCAAGCCTAGAGAATTTATTTAATCCCTAGAGTTGATTGTGGTGGGATCTCTCTTGGGCTCCATTTCTTGCTCTTTTCCAAAAAGCTCTAGATGCCGGACTAAGTTATTTCTCCTTCTTTTGGAAGCAAACGTGCACTCAATCTTTAGCTGGGAGTGCCAGTCGCCAGAGTAGGGTGAAAGATGGAGAATGTCCTGATTTGAGCATGATTGTATCAA